GTAACTTGTCCGATATCACTTGGCCCAGCTAGTGGAGAGGCCAGGGTTTAACTGTGGTAGTCTGATCATGCTCTTCATTAGACACCAACCTCAGAAAGCTGCTTGGATGATTCCCAGGCACTGGCTTCTGGAATGACCTTCAGTTCAGACCATTAACCCATTTCCTGCTGATACAGGGCAGACACAGAGAGGGTGGAGATGGTGGTGGTGGTGATGGTGTTGGAGAAAAAGATGGGCATTAACTTCTGTCTTAATTACCTTTAGACACTGGTGGAGTGCCTGCCACATGCGAGTTTGGGCCAGGTGCTGAGGGGACACAGATGGAGCACTTCCTTCATTTTAAGAAACAGCCCTGGGTTGGAGGGATTCTCCTCAGGCAACTGTTGCAGGAGGATCTTCCCAACTTCATCTTGGACCCAGGTCCCTGAATCATTTCCACAAACCCAGGTGAACTTTGAGAAGGTCAGAGCTTTCCAGTTGCAGACCCAAGTGAATTGGAACAAAACAGAGCCCACGTGCTTGACACGTGGAAACTCTCAAAGCCAGTGGTTTATAAACTTGCCAAGGGATGGGGAAGTAAACACATCCCAGATAGCCAAGGAGCAGTTCTCTGGCAGGGATGCATAAAACAGAAAGCACAGCCTTCTGGTGTTCTCCTTAAGGTGGTCTTGGTTTTAGAGCCCATAGACTTGCTTGGAGCTGATTGGAATGAACTACTAAATGCAGTGCTCATGTAGAACAAGCTCTTAGTAAATGCTGATGATCACTATCAGCATTGCTTGTCACAAAAGGGACCTGTGATACATCCTGCAGAGCTGTCTGTTCATGAACCTCCTTTGCCTTGTTGAAAGCTGTCCACTCCATTCTAACAAACTTTTAGAGTTTCTCTACCAATTCTACTTTTCAACACTAAAATTTATTATACACTTCTTAGGCACACACACACACACACACACACACGCTCAGTTGTGTCCAATTCTTTGCAACCATATGGATAGTAGCCCGACAGGCTCCTCTGTCCATGGGATTTTTCCGGCAAGAATACTGGAGTGGTTTGCCATTTCCTCCTCCATGGGATCTTCCTGACCCAGGGATCTAACCCATGTGTCCTTCATTGCAGGTAGATTCTTTACCACTGAGCTACCAGGGAAGTATTGTTATCCCCATTTCACAGATGAAAAGTTGAAACTCAGAGAAGTGAAACAACCTGCCTAGGGTCGCATAGCCTATGCAAAAGTAACTTGCTTGTCTGATTCCAAAGCCCATGCTCTTAACTGTGACACTAGAACCTCCAGAATCTAGGTGGCCTCTCTGAGCCCAGATTCAAGAAGAATCTGACCTGAAGAACTGCTGTTTTTGCTCTTACCCTTTGGAGCCTGGCTGTGCCGCACCTGTATTCCACGATGTCCACTAGCCAGATTCCCTTCACCCGATCTATGTATCTGGCAACAAACAGATATCTACTGAGTGCCAGCATTATTGTCACTCTCCTACAATTAACACAGAAGTTATTAAGTTTAGAACAAATTACTTTGCCTTGCACTTGTACAGAACATGACTGTTTACTTTCAAATACTTGGTTTGGCTTCATGCTCACAACTCTGGGATATAGGAATGATTATTTTCATTTCACAGCTGCAGGAACTGAGGTCAAAGAGGAGCTTGCCAAAGTTGCACAGATAGGAATGGGGGAGCTGGGCCTAGAAGCTAGCTCTGCCGACACCAAGCCCAGTGTTCTGACCATCACACTGGCTGCTTCCTCAGCACCAGGGCACCGGGGTGCCCACAGCTCCAGTCAGGCCTGTGAAAGAAAGACCAAGCTTACCACTGAGGGGAACCCTGTGGTCTCGATCGCCCACACTTCTGCTCAGGTCTGCTGAACATCTGCGTCCCTGTTGTAAGTTTTCAGTTAGCAGGGAACGCAGATCCAGGGGAGGCTGGTGCTGTGCTTGAGGGAGGGGGAAGTCACGGGGACAGATTTGAAATATAAACTAAATCAGGTACCACGTCCCTGTTGTCTCCCAGATCTGGGAATTTTGGCTCAAGCTGAGGTGAGCACGAGCCTCACCAGCAGGGCTGGGCCATGTCAGCCTGTGGGCAAGCCAGGCTCTGCACTCATTTTGGGGGCAGATGTGCTGGAGGGGAGAGGGATCTGGGCTTTTGTGAACCCCACTTAAGAAGCCCTCAGTGAGGCAAGTGAAGGGGAAGTTTGCAGGATTTGCAGATGCTGCACTTGGGCAGAATGTAATGGACAGTTTTGAGCTGTTTTTTCAACATATTCAAGTGTCTGGAGCTCTGGTGACCCAGCAAGCCCCTGGTGGTCAGCCTGGGTGGGTCTGGAAGCCAGAGCTCCCTGATGTGTAGTTGTTGAGGGCGGGGGCGGGTACAAACTATAGAAGCCACCAGGCTCTGGGTTGTTTTTGGACCTTTCTGAGTCTTTTCAGCCAAACTCATATCCCCTCTTATTGTGTGAAAACTTTGGCTCCCACGCTGGGACTCCAGAACTCAGCCTAGAGCAAATGTTGCCTTTGGGGGAGGCCGCAGTGTTAGTGGAGAGGGGACACCTTCTCTTACCCGGCTGTCAGCCTCCATCTTTCCTCAGGGTTGGAGGCTGCCTTCCCTCCAGGCAGGCAGTGGGGTCCCAGTCACCCCCAGGGTCCTGCAGGGCTGCTGGTGGCTCTCCAGACTCTCCACAAGGTGCGGCTGCTCACAAACATAGCCTTGCTTCCCTGTGGAAGCTTCCTGAATGCCTCCTCTCTCCCCACATTCAGGACCCAGGAGGCCTGTCTGGCCCTCAGAGGAAGGGTGTCACCCCCGCCCCCACCACCACCCCGAACTGTTTGTAGGAAGGGCTAGGAAGGCCAAGGCCACTGGCTTTGGAGCCCAGGAAAAAGCCACAGTCATAGGTCAGCGGGAGGGCTGCCTCCCTGCAGCCTTTATCTGAGCAAGTATCTCAGCACAGAATGTTCTGGTTGGTGTTTCTTGTACATAAATCTTTATTCCAATTGCAGTAGCTTTGATAGGAAAAATAGGGCCCATTTCATTATGCTTTCACCCTAATCAAATGTCTCTCATGCCAAAGCTCCCTATGTTTCTAATTTGCCCTGTTTGGATTGGGTTGAGGATGGTGGGCGGGCAGGGAACAAGGAGAGTTACAGATAAATGGATACCTCCATTTACTTTCTTTTTTTTTTTAATCAGAGGGGCAGTTTGGGCCTGTTACAAAAACTAGATCGGCATTTTACCCTGGGGGAAAGGGGAAGGGTAGAAAAGCAAAATTTTCAACCCTATGTAAGTGCTCTGTTTAAGTGAAAAAATTTTGTGCCTTTGGGGAAAAAACAAAACACAAAACAGACAAAAATGTTGCAGGGGAAAGTGGCAACTTGAGGATGGACAGAGCCCTGCTGTAGACTGTACCTGGAGTCCCTGTCATCTCCAACTATCTCTAAGACTCTCCTGATACAAAGTGTGGATGAGCACACCCCCAGCTTAAACACACACACACACACACACACACACACACACACACACACACATTCAAAAAACCAAAACAACCCAGGAAACTACCCAGGGTGTTGGATTTCTTAGAGGCCCAGGGAGCCTGATGCTGGTAAAGACACAGCTTCCTCCTCTGCTTGTGCCCCCCATCATCAGACCCCTTGATCCCGTCTTTCTCTTGTCCAGTGTCCTCTGTCAGGGAGGAGTAGAGTCCTTCTGGCTTGGCCCACCCCTCCTCCGCCCCTTACCCCGTGGTTTGTATTGGTTTTCACTCATCTTTGTCATCTTCTCTGCAGGTCCCATGACCCCATCCACCTTTGGTCACTTGTGGAAGTCACCCAGGTAGGAATTAAAAAGTTCTTTTTGGTCTGGTCTCTGGCTCCTGTGATTCTGGACTGATGCTGGGGCCACTGGAACTTGCTGTGGGGCCGTGAATGGGTGGCAGGAGTGTTAGAGGTTATCATATTTTCTGGGGGAATGGAGTCTTTCTGCAGGAAGCCACTGGGGGATAAATTGAGAGCCAGCCATTAGAACTAAAGCAATCTTAACATGTAATCAGATCTACCGTGACAGGCCTCCTGAGATTATTTTGTTACAACTCTTTGAGAGAATTTTTCAGCAAAAAAAAAAAAAAAAAGATCTTCCTCTCAAAAAAAGGAGCTTGCCTCATTAGTCTTTGGTGCAAATCTCCTCCTATCCATCTAGTGAGTGATTCCAGGACCCAGCCTGGGCCCCTCTGAGGTGGGAGGTAGCTCTGTGCCCGGCAGAGATCTGCCTTCTGATGAGGCTCCATGAATTTCCCCAAATGAAGCAATCAAGGCTCAAGAATCTGGGCTGTGGGGCAGGTAATCCAAGGATTAGGTATCTCTGGCTCTGGAATGCAGAACAAAGTTGCAATCCAACAGACGTCCCTTCCTAATCATGCTCGGCTTAGGCTAATATCTGAACCCAGTTAGCTTTCCCTGAAGTGGCATGGCTGGCTGGGAGTGACGGGTGGGTGAGGGTTACAGATGTGTCTGAGAGAGAGGACGGTGTCCCAGGTGGTGCAGTGGTAAAGATCTGCCTGTGATGGAGGAGATACAGGAGACGGGGTTTCAATTCCTGGGTGGGGAAGATCCCCTCGAGGAGGGCATAGCAACTCACTCCAGTATTCTTGCCTGGGAAATCCCATGGAGAGAGGAGCCTAGTGGGCTACAGTCCATGGGGTCACAAAGAGTCAGACACGACTGAGCCCACACACTGAGAGAAAGCCAGGGGGTAGCGTGGACCCTCTTCCCGGCAGCCTCCGAACCACGACTTGTGGGTGGTCACCCTGGGCAGAATGACTGGAGGGCCAGCACACAAGCTGCTTCCAAAAATTTAATAAATAATGATTTCTTAAAACTGTATAAACTATAAATTACCATGCAGTCCTTATAATTTAAAATAATTTACAGGTTGAGGTAGGGAGGGGCGCAGGAGAGTGTAGAAGGGAGCAGAGAAGGGTTGGGGGCTGCTGCAGATCAGGCTCTCCGCCCAGCCTTCCTGCTGAGCACACACACGCAGGCCGTGTCGATCCGGATGAACCGCCAGGCGGCCTGCTTGTCGTCCATGGTCAGCGCCTTGACGAAGGTGTGGGTCGTGGTACAATACGAGTTCCAGTGCTTCGCGTCGATGCCTCGGCACCCGCCGTCCACGGGGTTGGGGTCCCGGCACTTGGTCTCAAAAAAGTACTGTTTGAATACACTGTTGTTGATGTTCACCTCTCCCAGCACCATCACCTCCTTGCCTTTGATGTCCGTGGCGGTTGTCTTGTCCCCCACCCACACGCTGACGCTGTCGCACACCGAGAACTCCCCCCGGTGAAAGACGGGGTGGGATGACGACCGCTTGCTCCTGTGAGTCCTGTTGAAGGAGGCGGCCCCGCCCGCCTCCAAGTCCAGATCCTGAGTGTCTGCGGCCACAGGTGGGGGTTGCGTGCTGAACAGTACGCGAGGGGAACGCAGTCGCCGCTTCTTAAAAAGCTTGGGGTCCACAGTGATGTTGTGGGTCTGCCCTGCCACCCTGGCGGCTATCGGCCCAGCCGGGGCGCTGCGGGCTCTGCGGAGGACTGTGTCAAGGGAGTGCTGAAGTTTAGTCCAGTGGGCTTGAGGGATGGCGTGTCCAGCTGGGACATTGCTCTCCGTGTGCGGTGCTGCCTGTGTGCCGATCAAAAGAGCTGTGATCAGAGTGTAGAACAACATGGACATTACGCTACGCACCTGGAATGAAACAGAAATGAGGATTATTCCACGGGGTGCTGAGTGTTGGATGAGGGTGGTTTCTGGGTCCCTCGGAGTTGACCTTCCAAGAGGATGACAAGGAGGCTTCCCCTGGTAGTTAAGCGCAAGGTGACCCTGGAATTTCAAACTGGGACCCTTCTGAGAGTGAAAGGTGACACTATAACTAGGATCCTGTTACACCAGGATGACAGGCTTAAACAGGGCTGGTTCAGATAACCTGGGTGTCTGGGTACCTCATCTAAAAGGGGTGGGCTTTTCCAGGAAGGTATGGACAGAGTCCCAGAAATTCTGCCTAGTGATGTGGTATGAACTTGGTAGTGTTGCTTAAAGAATCGTTTGAGTTCTCCATCTGCCAGTGAGGCAGTCACCATGGGCAGGTGGTGTGTGTGCAGCAGAATGGCTTGGGGAGGGTGAGTCTGACACCTCTCCCAGCGCTGTGCCCTGCCCAATGGTTTGAATCCCCTGGGAAGGCAGTGGGAAGGGCTGCTGGGGATTTGTCTTGAAGCCTCAGCCTTGAACCCACCCGCTGCAGGCAGGAGCACCAGGTCAGCTCTGAGATTTGATGATTGAAAATCCACAAACATACCAATCCATGTCTGGCAAAAAAAAAAAAAAAAAAAGTATACAGCTCTGGGATGTCTGAGCCAGTCTGGCTATTCAGCCACCGGTGCATGCCTGTAGACATGATATTGATAATGTTTTCTCTTTTCGTGAGTGATGTTTTTCAGCTTTTCAAATGCATTCACTTCACGTTTCTTGTTAGCTTGTGACTTAGGTTAGGATTTATCATGTCCTTTTCATATGCAAGGAAAGTGATCCACAGAAATGAACTAACAGGCTGACAGTTACAAAAACTGGACCAGAAATAGAATCCAAACCTGACCTCTTACTAAGCCAGTCTACCCTTCCATCCTTCCTTCCTCCTCTACTTTCTCTTTCATTCTTAAGTGTGTCTTTTCAAAAATTATTTAATCTTAAGTGAGAATAGACCAAATAGCGTAAATCATCTGTCCCCACTAGCGGTACAGGCCCCTCTTGAGCTCATGCCAGATGGGACCCTGCACTTAACTGTACAGACTTGCCTACCACTAACCACCCCCAGGGCAACCTGCTGTGAAACTAGCTCTGTTCTTGAGCTCACATTTGGTGAGCTCCTACACACACTTGCAGATGTGTATCAGACGTCACCTCCTCTGGGAAGCTTCCCCAGATCTTCCTGGTAGGGTTAGAGGCACCCCCTAGACAGGGTGTTAAACTTCCAATGCAGTCCCTCCCCATCTCTCTCCCCCAGGTCATTCTGCTCTCTGCCCACTCTTCCAGCCTGGTATGAGTACCATCTCTTCCAGCCTGGTATGAGTACCATCTCTTCCAGCCTGGTATGAGTACCATCTCTTCCTTGAGACCTTCTCAGATCACCCAACCAATAGCCATCTCTCCCCATTCTCAACTTCAGAAGTGTGTGTCTTCTTTTCTACTAAATCAGTGTAATGAAAAGAACTCTGCACTGGATCTAGGGTTAGGAAAACTCATTTGGATTCCTAGTCCTGCTACTTGTTAGCAGAAGAAAGCCACTTAATCTTTTCTGAGCTCAGATTTCCTCAGTGATAAAAAGCAGGCAATAAACACTATTTCAGGGCTTTTCTGGTGGCTCAGCGGTAAAGAATCCACCCGCAGTGCAGGAGACATGGGTCCACGGGTTTGATCTCTGGGTCAAGAAGATCCCCAGGAGGAGGAAATGGCAACCCACTCCAGTATTCTTGCCTGGAAAAATTCCACGGACAGAGGAGCCTGATGGGCTACAGTCCATGGGGTCACAAAGGGTTGGACACGACTTACCAACTAAACCACTACAAACACTATTTCACAGGGCTGTTGTTAGGATTAAATAGGTGCTCATAAACCTATTTAATTCTGAGTCATTCCAATGTCCTGTGATCAAGACTTTGTTTTCTTCAGTTATATTGTGGCTAATTCATTCTTGGAGCACACTTCATCCACATCTTTTCATAGCACATAGTTTTACTTCTGTCAGGCTTCTTTTCAAGCCTAATGATTTGAGACTATCCCCCCACTAGTTGTGTGCAAGGTCCTGGAGGGCAGAGCCTGTCTCATCCACCTGCATGGCTAGTGGATGAGATTTAATAGATATACTTTTTTGATGTCATGAGAGGCATTGAAAATGAGAAAAATACAATCACAGGGTGTTCCTGCTGGGGGGCTCCCCATCTGTTCTCTGTAATTGATTATTGTTAAACTAATTTTCAACTGTGTAAGTCTTAGAGAAATGATATAAATGTATGTGATTGTCCAGGGTGGGGGTGGGGGCGGTGATTGTCTGTTCATGATGGTCTCTGGCTGCTGACCAATTTTGTAGCATTTCAGCAAATTCATTTCAATGTTCTTAAGTGTGTACATTTACATGTCTGTTCTTTGAATTCTCCTTGGAATTGGTCATAACATCTTACTGGTTCTCCCACCAGTTAATTTAATTGAATAAAAGTTGATACTTGTTTATGAAAAAATAAACAAAAATATGTTTTTTCTACCCCTTTTTGCTCTAGTGGTTTATGCTTAACCCTATTACCTCTCCTTGTGTTGTGAATCATGGTTTACTTGTCTGTTTCCCACTTTGGAAGTGGTGCCATCTGCGTTTACTGGGGCCACGCGCAGTGCCTGGCATGTAGAAGGTCCTCAAACTCTACAAGGAGAGTGGGTGAGAGAGTGAATGGGGATGTCCGCAGCAGCTCACCATCTGCCTTCTTTCCACCATGACGCCTGTTTTGTTTTGGATGATGTGCATATGACCACATGTTGCATTCCTAATCTGTTTTAAAGCAATGCATTCTTCTTCTTGGTAATGTGCTTCTCTTCAGCTGCTAGACAGCTCTTTGGTGAGATACCAAGAATAAAACCACCAAATTCTTTTCTCTTCGGTTACTTCAAAAAATGTTTGTGTTTTCTCCAATTCTCCAGCCAGCCATGCAGAGGAGGTAGTGACACATCTGGCTTTTTGACCGTCACTGGTTCTGCAGGCTAATGGTCTTACAGATAAATATCCAGCTGATTAGTCAGTTAGCTGCTAATTCAAGCCTTTGGCTTTTGCTCCCTTTCTTGTTTCATTTCTTTCTGCTTCTCAGAAACATTATCTCTCATCAGGTAGATGAAGGGAGAAGAAATGAAATGGAAATTTATCCCTTTATATCCATATTAGTAACAGTTAAGAGATGGGAAATGAAAAGACTACAATGTAGTCATCAAATGTATTTGATGATAATAAGGGACATACCACTATTTCCCATTACCAGAGGCTCCCACCTCATTCTACAGTCTCCCCTTTGCTGAGCTCATTCTATTCTACAGTCAACTGAGATATCTGTGCAGTTGATGCCCATGCCAGGATCTCTGGTCTAATTCCTCCCTTTAAAGCCAGTTCTGAACTTCCAGTTTCGTGATAGGCAATTCCCCATGGGTGTCGACGTTTTAAAACCAAGCTGTCCAAAACAAGAACCTTCATTCTCATAGTCCCCACTAGGACCACCATCCTCTCCTTTCTCCTCTTTACTCAAAAGCAGCTGCCCCATTTTGGGCCACTTGATGATTTATGAAAGTAGTTTCACAGCTACTATCTCTTGTGAGCCTCTCTCCCCATCCTCCTAACCACGTTTCTCCGCATCTCTGTTTTTTATTCCTGGAACCACCATTTGCTTCATTTGCCAGCTCCAAGCCTCAGCTCCTCACTGGACTCTGCTTTTTCCTCTCTGCCTTTCACCCAGCCTGTCTTGTCTGTTTCAGTGTCATCTTTTGAAACTGCGCTTTTGGTCCTCACCTCTATGTTTCTGGTTCAGGTCACGCAACAATCTCCCAACGTATGCCCTGGTTGCCTACCATCCCTGGTTGCTCCATGTAACTTCCTAAAGCACTACCCTGATCACATCACCATGCTCAGAAGATCCAAAGGTGAGCAGTTGTCTAGCGAGCCACTAGGACTGCTCAGCCTGGCAGATAGACCCTGCCTTCCATCTACTCCCTCCACATAGTTTGCATTCCTGGCAAACAGATCTCCTCACAGGATGTGCTGGCTCGGTGCTTCCCCACCGCTGCCCTCAGTTCAGACTCTTCTGTGCCAGGCATGCTCCCCTTTACCCCTCCCCCCACCAATCAGTGCCTTTTCTGCTCCCCGCCTCTGCTGGTCAGAGTCCTTCCTGCTGGCTCTAAGTCAACTTAAATGCCACATCCATTGGGGAGATTTTCCTATTTTCAGAGGGACCAACTCTCTTCCTTCTCCATAAAGGAGAAGCATTTCCTTAAAATTCTCTTATAGCATTGTATTCTACTCTTATCCTCCCTCCTAAAGGGCAAAATCCCTAGAGGCAGAAATGCATCCCGTTCATCTTTTCCTGTGCAGGTGACCTAACCCTCACAAGGAGCTCCACCTCTTAAGAGTCTGAGTGTGAACAAGTCTCTTCCTTCTGTGTCCCTTCATTTCTCCATCTGTTTATAGTATCTTTCAACTCTGACCCTCTGAGTGTAAGCAATTATATAGCTTTCTGCTCTGCCTAGAACGCTGCTTGTTCTACTCAACTGACTACACAGAGTTCTTAAAGTCTAATGCTGCTCCTCAATACACTGTCAAGGTAACCCGTGGTTGTGGTGGTTTGTATTTGGTAAGTCATGTCCAACTCTTCTGCGACCCCATGGACTGTATCCTGCCGGGCTCCTGTGTCCATAAGATTTCCCAGGCAAGGATACTGGAGTGGGCTGGACATTTCCTTCTATAGGGGATCTTCCCCACCCAGGGATCGAACTGCACCTTCTGCATTGGAAGGCAGATTCTTGACCATTCGGCCACCTGGGAAGCCCCTAACCTGTCCTCACTGAGGGTATTTGAACACAATGAAGATTTGCATCATGAAGAGACTGTGTCATTGTTTCATTAAGATTTTAAAATGTTGCAAATATATCTCTTAGAGCAAAAGGATTTTTTTTTTCTAAACTGACTTACTCATAATAGTATGCCCCTAGAATCTTCTTTAAAAAAAAAATCTTTTGTTTAAAAAATAATGAGTAGATAGAAAAGAAAAAATTAGTACGTATTTTATTCTAGTGATTTAAAGTATAAGGCACAGTTCACAAAAGAATATTCTCTCCTTGGTTGATGTGAACCAGGGAGGAGTTTTATTTATTTATTTTTAAAAACAACCTTTGAAGCCTTACTTCTGAAGTGGTGACAGTCCTCACTGGGGTTTCACTAAGCAGAGACCTGTGAGTAGAATGATTACCTGGGGAAGATGCAATTAGGGGCTTGCAGGATGGAACATGTTCTGTTTAATGTGTGAATTTCTGTGTTTGTCCTGCTCCCACGAGAATGGAAGATAAATGACTAAGAGTGCGGGGACCCTCCGGGGGGCCTTCTTCCATCTATTCAAGGGCCTCCCAGCTTCCTTGCCCTCTCCTGGGCTGGAGGTACATTCTGTGGTTTTCCAGTCATTCACACACTCCAGTGATAAGAGAAATTTCCTGCACCAGGTGAATGATTTCACATAGGTGTTCTCACCTGAATAGGTGGTGAAGCGGCTGGGCAGAGCTAAGTAACTGGTCCATCTCTGTGGCCGGGACGGCCAATGGCTCTGGAAAGCCTGGTGAGCGTGCCTTTGGACGTGCCTTGTAAGGGAGTGAGGGAATCCCTGTCTTGGCTGGAGGAGTGCTGAGAGGGAGCTGTTAGTGATTCTCAGACTAGCGATTATATTGGTGAACCAGGGTCACGGAATGCTAGCTGGAGAGGAAATCCCTGTGGCTGAGAAAATCCAGCCTCCTTCTCCATCTCATTCGCCACATTAGAGTGTGGGTCAGGAGTCATTTCATGTTTTACACTTGGCCTCCACTCCAAATGTAAACTGACTGCTGTCTTCAGCTCTAAAGACTGGGACACAGTCGGTTGTTGGGGCCTGCGTGGAGTGAGAGAGGAATTCTAGGGCCCCTCAGCTTCCCAGGGAGAAATCCCTGAGGCTGCCGCAGAGAAAGGCACTGACAGCATAAAATCCAGCTCCTCTGCTAGCGTCTCCCAGGCTGAATTTATTATGGGGAAGCATGAACTGGAAGGCACGTCAGAGCCGATCAAGTCCAGAGGTTCAGTGCATTAGAATCTGCATTGATTTTAGCCCCTGGAAGGCTTATTAAACTACAGACTGGAGGGCCCATCCCCAGAGTCTCTGATTCAGTAGGTTTGGTGTGGGGCCCCAAAACTTGCATTTCCCACAGCTTTTCTTGGAAGAAAAGCTATAACAAACCTAAACAGAATATTAAAAAGCAGAGGTATCACTTTGCTGACAGAGGTCCATATAGTCAAAGCTATGGTTTTTCCAGTATTCAAGCATGGAGGTGAGAACTGGACCATAAAGAAGGCTGAGTGCTGAATAATTGATGCTTATGAATTGTGGTGCTGGAGAAGAATCTTGAGAGTCCCTTGGACACAAAGAGATCAAACCCGTCAATTCTAAAGGAAATCGACCCTGAATATTTATTGGAAGGACTGTTGCTGAAGCTAAAACTCCAATACTTTGGCCACCTGATGCAAAGAGCTGACTCATTGGAAAAGACTCTGATGCTGGGGAAGATTGAGGGGAAGAGGAGAAGGGGGTGGCAGAGGATGAGATGGTTGAATGGTATCAATGATTCAACGGACATGAGTTTGAGCAAACTCCTGGAAATAGTGAAGGACAATGAAGCCTGGCATGCTACAGTTCATGGCGTTGCAAAGAGTTGGACACGACTTAGTGACTTAACAACAACATCCTGTCCAATCCTTGAATCTTAGGGAGGAGAGAAATGGACCTCGGAGAGGCACAGTGACCTGGGGTTATGCAGCTAGTGAGTGGCAGGCTCTGCATGTGGGCACTTGGCACTGCTCTGCCTCAGCTGTTCTGGAGGTGAGAGGGCTGAGGCTGCACACACACTATAACTGATGGGTCCTGGGCTGCATTTATTCAGCCTCCAACATCAAAATGAAAATTCCGTTCAGCAGGTTGTAAGTTTTACCTTCCTGAAGCCATAAATCCAGATACCAGGGAGGAATTAGATGCTTAATTATTTTATCTGGTTTATCAGGTTTTCTCGACATCATGCAGGCTTGATCCAAAAGCACTTAAAATGCCCATAACAGAAGTATGCAGTCAGAAACCACTAGCAGGTACGGGCACCTGTGGATTTGTCATCTACTTCAGGGCAGAATGGAAACAGAATCTACTTGTCTGAATGCTTAAAGACATCTTAAAATGAACGAGGACAGATCATAATTACATCTTATCAGGTTATTGGGCATAATTGTCTCATTACCCAGCACGACATATCTGGCAGGTGGGTCTTATTCTTCCCATTTTATAGAGAAGGAAACTGAGACACAGTAAGAGTAAATAACTTGACCACAGGCAGAAGCCTGGTGGAAGTGGACCTTACCCTTGTTTCCAGACTTGGAGCTCTCCCTACCGTCCACTCCACAGGCAAGCGCATGAAGAGTGATCAGGGACCTTCAGTCTCCTAAGATCACTTGTTCAGGCAGATCAAGAGCTGTGTGGGGGGTCTGACCGGTGCTGTCTGTCTGTTCTGACAGAGGTCCTCTGTTCTGATCCTTTAGACAGGGGTGGCTCAGTCTCTAATCATGTCCCTGAAAACTGTGGGACCAGCCTGAAAGCAAGAGTGACATCCTCTCCAGACAGGCTAGGAGGGCCACATGTGGGGCGTCACTAGGTGCCACCCGGGCCCCTTCTGATTGACAGTTGGCACCAAAGTCCCATCCTCAGCCACAGGCCTTTTTCCAGCTGGCCCGGCATTTCTAGAACTAGCAACCTTGGTGAGGCAGATGCCCTGCGGGTACTTACCTTAGTGTGGCCAGGACAGAAAGCTGCTCCCTTGGGAGAGCCGTTATTGGGCCCGGACGCTGAGCTGAGCTTGGGTCCAGCATGCCACCCAGCCCCTTGGACTGCACGACCCTGGGCCAGGGCTCTGTGGGAGGAGAGAGCTGGCATTAGGTGGGTGCTTCCGTACTCTGTCTAGCAGATGGGCAGCTGTGCCCAACCTCATTTTCCTGAGTGCTGGGACTCTGCCAGCATCAGAGCCAAAGAAGCCAGAGCTTAGCTGCCGAAATTACCAGGGGCCTGATCTTGCCCAGACTTGGAGCGGCACCCGCCTCTCGGTCTGGTGCCAGAGCTCTTGGTATCTCCCTGGACACAGTCTATGGTTGATCTTATGCCCCGTGTAGGAGCTTCTAGTCCCACATCAGAGTCTGGCTCTAACAGGTCCCTAACCCAGCATCAGAATGGAATCCTTCTGTACATTATACACACAGATATAACATACCCAACTCTGGACCAGTATACCTAAGGTAAATTATTCAGAAGATAAAGGCCTGACAATGAAGAACAAGCTGGTGCCTTGATGAAACTCCAGACCAAGTCATGGTGGAAAGCAAGACAACTTGACCACTTGACAGATAACAGAGAGCTCTTACAGAACAAGGAGGACAATCTCAGAGATCAAAGTTTAGCAAAGACACATTTTAGGAATCAGGAGCTAGGGAGTTGCTACAATGGGAGAAAAGTTCTATTCAGTTTTAGGTTGTAGCTCCTAGAAGCAATGGTAGGTTTCTATTCCCCATTTACCTTTATAGACCTTGTATAAGTAGGCACTTCATTCATTCATTCAACACTATTTCCTGAGCACATATTTCTGCTATGTACCACATACTGTCCTAGGTGCTAGGGACCCAGCAGTGAATAAGATCAACAAGGTCTATACTCCATGGAGTTTACAGTCTTATATAAATAAACATAACATCATATATTCTCTACATGCCCAGCAGGTAAGTAGGATATGATGATAGAGGGTGATGGTGGGGTGTAGTGAGGGGCCACTGAAGACAGGATGCTCAGTGGAAGTGGTATTCCATCTCTGAAGAAATGATCTTCAAGTTGAGATCTGAAAGATGACAAGGAATGGGGGAGACAGCATTTCAGGCAGAATGAACAGTAAGTGCAAAGGTCCTGGGGGGTAGAAACAAGTCAAAGATGCTAAGCATGTCAAAAGAGACCTAAGAAATGAATTGGAGAGAGAGAAGAATGCAGTGAGCAACTTTGTGTGCAGGGGTGTAGTGAACAACTACAGTTTCACCCTATAGGCAATGGGAAGGGAGCAGAAGGCTTTAAGCTGGAGGGTGACATGAGATTTTTCACAAATGAGTGAGTCAACTATTAATGTCTACTGTAGAATTTTATTGTAGGTAGGGATATCTCCCCCCCAAAAAAGTTCCGAAATGACACCTTTATCTTTCCTATCTAGATTATCTTTTCAACTCCTCAACCCCTCTTTCCCAGCATGCCTTTTCCCATTGTGGATCCCCGCCTCAGTCCTCCTGCAACACCCACTCTCAGCTTGTACTACCGAAGCAAGGTCAGTGAGACCACCATGGCCCCCAAATCCCTAATCATGCAGAGGAGCTGGATGACAAGGTGGTAGAAAGGGCCTGGAGTGATTTTCCTGCTGCTGGAAATTGTGAACTTAAGGACTGGGATGTTATCTTTTCTCTTTCTTACCCACTCTACTTAAAATACCCTTTTTCTTCAGAAGTACCAGAAATAGCTTCCAAACCTCAATTGGGGTTCAGGCCTAGAGATGAACACTTACTCAAACACTAAAAAAAAGTTAGATTTTGTAGCAAAGACCTTGGTTACCCTGAATCAGGGTTGAACTGAGCACAGGAGGGGGAGGACAGCAGGTTCTCCAGGAAGGAGGTGCACATTCCGGGATCTGGTTCCATTGCTCACGGGAACAGGATCTGATGGATCGGGTCCACAAACCCTTCAACTGGGTGTTTGGCCAAATCTCACTCATCGCCAGACTGGAAACTACAGAACTTTGTCCTGGCTCAAGTCGCCAAGGATCTTTAGGCATCTCTGATCTTTCTCCACAGATAAGGAACCAGTAGGGATGCTAGCTAAGGTCCCTTCCAGCTCTGATAGCCCATGATTCTATGGGCACTGATATTTCCAGCCTGCATCTATACTGAGCATCTAAGGAATGCTTTCCTTCCTGTCCATGCACTGGGATTCATTTATTTCATTGATTAAACACTAAACTTGCAGGCACTGCACCAGCCACTGTGCTAGGTACTAGGGACACAAAGAAGAATGAGACATAAGCACAACGTCCCAGAGCAAAGAAGCTAGAGGTGAGGAAAGCAAATACCTGAACAGCATTTAAAGCACAATGTGCTAAGTATGATAGATAATTCTGACATGATGTGGGAAACATAGCAGAGGGAAGAATTAGTTTTATTTGGCCAGGTCATAGGGGAAGTAACATCTGAGCACGGTTCTTAAGGATAAGGAGGGGTGCATCAGGGAAGAAGGGAAGGAAAGCTATCGCAGAGCCCCAGAAGTTCCACATGGCTTAGGAGGGGGTGTTGGGGAGGGTGAGAAGAGTATGTGGTGGTCTTATGCAGCAATAGCAGGAACTTATGAGCTTGCAGAACTCACTGCTGTGGCCTATCTGCTGACTATACCTTCCAATGTGACACAAAAGCGCCTACTTTAATCTAGGAACAATATGGGCAGTAACAGTGACTCTCTCTGAAAACATTCTATATATTCCACTATATGCCAGTGTGGCCTCCAATCTAGCTGATTTGAAGGTGAGGGATGGTCAATCTAAATCAAACATTCCACGACTCCTAGGCAGAACTGCCTTCTTGGGAGATGGGCTGTAGATCAACCACAATAGCCCCCTTTGCATGCCAGGGTCCCCTGCCAACCACATCTAGATGTCTGATTGCTATATTTGCCCTGTCTTGTATCTCCTTTGGTCTTGTCTTGTTCAGTGTAGGCACAGGTAGCTTGCTACTGGAGACAACAATTTCCTGCCCAGAATGCTGAAATACTAAGTGATTGTCATAGATATTATTGTCATTGTTCTTAGTCTCATGCTAGTGAAGGTTGGGGCTCTAAAATTAAATCTGATTTAAATATTACCAATTTCTAATGCAATGATATTAGGAACAAACAGCCCCAAATGCATATCTATTTTTAAAACCTTGTCTTTTCTCCTGCAGTAATCAAGTAATCAGAGAGCTTTTTCACTTTTATAAATACATGGAAATAAATCCCAGCTCATCTCAGGACCATGTTCTATTCCTTCTTCAGGGCATGAAGGAATACTACTGTAATCTGGTATTCCTTCTAGACCAGGATAAGGCTGGGTCTCAGGCTTTAAAGCAGTGTTTCTCAAAGTGAGGTCTACTATAATACTAGCAATATCTCAGAATTTCTTAGAACTGTATATGCTTAGGCTCTACCATACGCCTAGCTATGCTTAGTGAAACCCAGCAAATCTGAATTTTAACCCCTACTGCTGATACTGATGCATACCTAAGTTTGAGAAGCACTGTTTTGGAGGGTTCCACTCTGGACCCCCTCCAAATGCAACCTCCCCCTGGGGTGAGGGAGCCAGGGCTGAGAGAGAGTGACAACTCAGAATCAGAGTACTTCTGCAGGCTGCCTGCTTGACCATAACTTTCCACATCACAATTAACATTATGTCTAGATCATGCCTCAGAACCCAAGATCAACCAGCCTTGACTCAGCTGGAGCTAAAGGTTCTTCTGAAGACCCCCTGAAGTTGAGCATGTTTGTATGGCCCTCTATGTTGACACTTGTCTCAGCCTCCCTTTCACTCTCATTAGGTCTCAATGATATTTTGGTCAGTTTTGAAATACAAGCTATATTTTGTAAAGCTTCCATGGTGACCCCAAGGAAAAGTCAGGGCTGAGAATCATGGCTGCACAGGATGAATGGGAAACTTGACACTGGTTTTGATGAGCTAGTAATGAAGAAAAATGATCAAGAAATGAATATGTCTCAGAAAATATGAAGTGCAGGTATGGTCACACCATAGGCAACAAGAATGTGTGAGCATATAGCTCGCAGACTCTTGAGGGGATGTTGTCCCTGTCTCCCCTTCCCACACTCCATCCCCAGAATTATCTAGGTATAATTGACATTTGTGAATTTTGAAAGTTTTTTTTTTAAACTCCTTGCACACCACTTAAAATGTTCTTTGGTTTTGGAGCTATGATTAGCTTATTATCAAGTCCAAGGACTATTTGCTGACATTTTTAATTCCAAAAATTGGGGGATGCTTGACCGAAAAAAACTTCTTAGACCATTCATCCCTCACAGGTGCTGGGACCCAATGGCTAGTCCTAAAACCAGCTTACATCACAGCAGAATGCTAGAGTAGCTGGCGTGAGCTGCAGTCCCCCTCCTTCCTGGATTCCACCTGCTGGAGCTCTGTGAGCTGGGAAAACTCACTAGGGAGGTTGAGCAGCAAGAACATGTTTCTGAGGGCATAATAATAACTGTTGGTGCTGTTGCTGTGGTTTTCATTGCTGTAACTGTTCCCCTTAATGCTTCCCTCTCTCTGTTAGTTCTCACTCTGAGTCTGTACACAAAGAAAATCTGAAATCTTTTACACTGAAAGTCTCTTTTCCTAATTTTTAGCCTAATCAGACATTTTTTTAGTATGGAATATGACTGTGAGGTTTGCTGACTGGGAGCTCTTTCTTTGGGGAAAAAAATTCAGTTTTGGCCGTTTTGAAATGATTTGACGTGTTTTAACTATTTAGTGGTTTTGGCACAACCAATAGGAAAATAGTGCATCTGGCAACAGGACTTAGGAAGATATTCAGGTTCAGCAAAACCGCTATTCTTTTTCTTTGACTGAAAGTTTCAATGCTGACAATTCTGAAGTGTCTTGCCACATTTCTCTAAAAGAGAAATAGTCCTATGGCTCTTTTGGAGATTCTCAGATAAATTACAAACTCTTCCTAGCAATTCCCCAGAGAGGCAGCTCAAGGAAGAAATCATCATGGTGCTGACCTTGGTGTTCAGAATCAATTAGCATTTGCTACAAATGTGTGTGCCTTCTGGGGTGTGTGGTGGGACACAGTTGTCATTGTATTTGGCCGACTGGATCT